TGAACTAACTCGACTAAACTGTCCATCTTTTCAAATTGTGGACAAGGAACGTGAAACGTTTAGAAATGTTTGATTCGAAACCGATATTATTTAATATTCATGCTGTTCAGACGTATCACCAGTGTCTATTAATACAATGATCAATTTTGTATGAACGCATTTAAGTTTTGGATATGATGTGTAGAATATTAATGTCGGCCACTGTTGGCTAAACTTTGGGTGGTATTGAAAAAGTAAATCGCTCGGGTCGGTGATTAGTAGGACACTCTGTACGCAAACCCTGTTAGGTGTATTGCAAGTGCAAGTAGTGAATATTATGAATTACTACCATTTTACTTGCAAAATTATTATGGCAAAGGTTTCTTATTTTATGCGTATAACTTTATTACCGAGTCAAACCGGTTAAAGAGTCCAGCAGCAACATTCCGAACCGAAATTACGACTTTTACTTAAAAACTGTATATTACCTTCCCTGCAAATGTTTCAGCCTATAAAAAGTTGATTTCTTATTAATATTATAATATATATTAGGAAATTAAATGAGAAGCAAGTCTCATTCTGCCTGACTTGTAATATCGACTATTCCTTTGCATTTTTGACTCGTGAAATTAGCACATAGACGTCGTGTGTTAGCTGGCAGACTCTTCGTTCTTTGGTCATGGGTCATACACAAGGTTGTACAATAAAATATGATTGACCATAATTAGACGAGATGAATCGGCGGGGACTCGCGTAAAAAAACTGAAGAAAAGAATATCTGATGATTATTGCAAATGAAAAACCAACATGTAACCATTGACACGGTGGCTGTTTCTTGTGAAAGAAAACATTAGTTTTGAGGTGTGGGGCGTCGTTCGTCTAGCAGGATATTGACGAATTGGGTAGATCTCCGTGTTGCGTCTGATATCAGCAACTGGAATTGATATGTTCACTTTCTAGTATTTTTTTGTGATCAATAAAAGTTTTATTTGAGATCCCGTGTTCGATCCTTGCGTTGGCCGAGAAAGTCCATCGGGTTTTTCCGGTGTGGTTCCCTCTTGTCAGTGGTGCAGCACGGAGGATCTGGTAAGGGACAACGTATAATACTTCGGATGGGATAAAAGAACGAATACCCGTGTACACATTCGATATAAAAGTAGCCCGAAGCGCCGCTGTCGGAGCAAAATTTTCTTACTGTATGGCGTATGCCCGTCTTCATTAGCCCAGTCGGAGCCGACCAGTGAGGCGTTAACGGTATTTTTATTTCCCTATTATTTACAAAAAGGTTCAGCAGTAAATGTCACTGATAGAAGAGTGGGGGGGGGACAATTTTTTTCATCTGCACATTAAATACAGCAGAAGCAAAAAATAAATAATGGTGTTTGAGGTATATCTGGATGAAACATATTTGATGTTTAGTGTAACTGTGTACATGAAGTAGTACAGTCAGCTGTACAGATTGAAAAGAAGGCTTTAGCGTTAGTGTTATGGCTATGAAACAGATTGATAAAGGTTTTGAACAGATAACACGTTATTTCAGTTGAATCAAGAAATGTCATGATTATTTTCAGCATTCCTCAATATAAAGGTAATGATTTCAAGAATGTCGTCAAACTAAATTAGAGAACCTTCCAATAATAATGTGTTAAGTGATACAAGGGAGGTCACTCGATTTTTCGTTTGGTTCAGACCACCAAATGGTTACCTGTTACCTTTAGATGGATTGTGAAATTCTTATGTTTGCGCAATATTGTCCGTTTACGTAGGGTTTTTTTATACGCCCTCATTTCCATGTGGACGTATATTGAGGTCGCCTCTGTCCGTCCGGACGTCCACAGTTTGTTTGTTGACACTCTACAGGTCACATTTGTTATCCGATTTTGACGAAACTTGTAATATAGATACATCTTCCAAAGATCTCGGTTCCTTTCGATATTCGCATGCATCGGACCATTACTACACGAATTATGGCCCCTAATTGTACGAAAAATCACGTTGTTAGCTTGTAGGCACTCTAAATTTTGAAATGCATGTTTATAACCCAAATATCTTGTTTCCTGTCGATATTCGTGCATATCGAATGGTAACTTCCTGAATTATGGCCCCTGATTGTACGAAAAATCGCCTTTTTAGCTTTTGGTCCCTCTAGAGGTCACAATTTTTATCCGATTTAAAAAAAAAAAAAACGTTTTAATACACTCTTCAAAAAAAGTAGGGGATATTGAAATGCAAATACCTATGCAGGTTGTGATATGATAAATAGTCATGGAACCTTGACATGCTTTGAGGGTATGTTTTTTTTCTATATTCGCGCATATCGGATCGTATCTTCCTGAACTATGGTCCCTGATTGTACGAAAAATAAATCGCTCTTTTAAGTTGTGGTCCCTCTAGGGGTCAAAATTGTTATCCGATTTAAAACAAACGTTTTAGTATATCCCCGTTACACCCTAATGATGGTTGAGTTCGAATTTCGTGAAAATCGGACCAAAACTGTCGGACAAAATGGCCGCCCCTATAGGTCACAATTTTGATTCGATTTTGATGAAACTTGAAATGCGTGTTTATAAACCAAAGATTTTGGTTCATTTCGATATTCGCGTATATCGGATCAAAACTTCCTGAATTATAGCCCTTGATTGTACAAAAAATCGCGTTTTGAGCTTGTGGTCCCTATAGAGGTTACAATTTTTATCGGATTTAAAAAAAAACGTGTGAATATATCACATTCATACACTCTTGATGGTTGAGTTCGAATTTCGTGAAAATCTAACAAAAATTGTACGCAAATAGTGTACAAAAAATATGGTAAATTTTATCCGATTTGGATGAAACTTTAAATATATATATTTTTTGTCATAAAGATCTTGGTTCCTTTTGATAATCACACATATCCGAACGTAACTTTCTGGATTATAGCCCCTGATTGGTCTAAACATCGCATTTTTAGTTAGTGGATATTCTAGAGGTCACAATTTTTTTTCCGATTTTAAAAACCATTTAGATATATCACCATTCCACCATAATGAAGGTTGAATTGGAATTTAAGGAAAATCGAAATGAAACTGCCCGACAAAATGGCCGCTCTGTGTACGCAAATTGTGTATAAGTACTAGTATGTAATACAAAAGTTATGGGCCCTCTATCGGTCACAATTTTTATCCAATTTTGATGAAACTTCAAATATATCTTTAAATTCCAAAACTCTCAGTCCCGTTTGATATTTGCGCATTTAAGACCGCAACTTTCTGGATTATGGCCCCTGATTGTACAAAAAATCCTTTTTGTTTTTAGCTTGTTCTCTATCCATCTCTTGCAAAATTATAACATTTTATATAATGTATTGGCAAATATATGAGTAGTAAGTCAATCGCATATTTTTTTGTCCCAACATTGCAGGTGGAGCAAAGATAGTATATAAAAGCCTAATTCAACTTCTTTGAAGCTTGATACATGCATTTTGGCCAATTGGGACGATCATTTTCCATTGGCACAATAATTTGGGTTGAAACTTTCAGACAAGGTAAATACATTAAATTTATATCGTTGTACTTTGGACATTGTCTATGTATGCCAGGATAAGTTTTTGATTATGATGTCGATTATATTGAGGGAGATACGGCGGCTTAGTTGGTAGGACGTTGACTCGCTAACCTGGAGTTTCCGTGTTCGATCCCTGCGTTGTCCGTAAAAGTTCATCATGACAAGGGACAGCGTATACACAGGTCCTGTGTACACATTGGCGTGTACGTTAAAGAATCCTTGACGGTTGGAATTCAAATTATATGTATGGCATATGTCCGTCTTCATTAGCCCAGTTGTATAGTAAAACAGTAAGACGTTAAACCCCATTTAATTTCATATAATATTGAATAATACGTATAGTTTATCTCTCTATAACGTCACTTAAAACAGTTTAAGAATCAGAATTTTCAAACGTTGTATTTGAGAAATGTGGAGGATAGTATGATTCAGTAAGGTTGTAGGGGACCTGGTTGTTTTTAGTAAATTAATAACTTGTATCATATTAATAATGAATTCTCCAATACTTTGATTATACTAGTACAATGAACTGATAAATTTCAGTATATTTTCAGGGGCGGATCCAGGAATTTTTGCAGGAGGGGATTTGCCAGGTTTCTGAGACAATGTATCCCCCCCCCCCCACAGAGAAATTTCAACACCTCGTTTGACGTCAATTTTTATTATGAATTTATACAATGACATTGTGATTCAATTTCATGGATGCAAAGCATTAATTGTGATATCACATAATATCTATATCATTATCTGTTGCTTTGAGTGCCCATCCTGTCCCACATCTGACGATAAAGGATAAAGCACACGGGCGAGAAACTTTTCTCATAAAAAGTGTTGAGTTACAAAACAATTTATGTAGCTGAGCAGGGGGGAGGTTTCGACACCCCCCCCCCCTCCCTCTGGATCCGCCTCTGATTTTGTCTTAGAATCATACCAGTAAGAGTCAGTTGTGAAATGTGGTTTGGGGGCGGTGCCCCAGTGAGTAAGATGTGCTGGCTCGCTAACTATATTTTAGCCGTGAAAGTTCCTCTGGATTTTCCGGCACGGATTCCCCTTGTCAGTGGTGCAGGGCGGAGGGTCTAACAAGGACAATGTCTAGTCGTTCGGAGTCTCGAGTACACATTCACGTGCACGTAATAAACATTTGATAGTAGGAATTCGAAATAAAAGTAGGCCGTAGCGCCTCTGTCCGGGCACATTTCCTTCTTAGCACATTGTATGGCGTGTGCCCGTCTTCATTAGCCCAATCGGTGCAGAAAAGTAGGACGTTATTATACCCCATTTCATTTCATTTGAAATGTTTTTGTAATTATTGTCATCATTTTATGTCATAAGTCTATTGATATAATATTATAAGCCAACTGGTTTTTTCTAGAATAGGTGTTGTTGTTATTGTTATTGTTACAGATTTTCCAGATAAATATTTATCTAAAAATAAAACTAGGTTTCTCGGTTTGTCATTTAGTCTATAGTATTCGTGAGGCCTATATACACTTATTGCGTTGAAGAATTAATCTAAATCTAATTGGTGTATCATTAAACATTTATATAGTTTCTGTGTCTGCTGATAAACTAAGTAAGTGGTTGTATTTTAATTAATATTTAATTTTTAGCGATTACGTGAGTGCATGTGAATGGCACTAAATACCACAGAAATATATCTGGCTCTAAGTCAATTTAATATGTCTTTGGTCTAAATATATACATTTCCATCAACTAAAAGGGAGCTACGGCGCCTCAGTGAGTATAGCACTGATTCACTAACGAGGAGTTCCGGGCTCAATACCGGTGTTGGTCGAGAAAGTTTCTCTGGATTTACCAGTCTGGTTTTTCTCCTATGATTGAACGGAATAACGACCTACTTTCCTGCACCAAACATCCGAGAGAGAGAGAGAGAGAGAGAGAGAGAGAGACAGAGAGAGAGAGAGAGGGGAATGGGGTTTAACGACCGCTCAACACAAACTGGGTCATTTCGGGATTATTGTACAATTTTATTTCATTCATATGCTTGTCGGCAGGGGTCTTTAGCACAATGGAAGCGGTGCGGGGGGTGGAGAACACACGGGGTTAGGTAAGCTACCTCACTCCTTGTCACGGGATCGAAACCACGTCAATTGACTCAATGGGCAGACATATGATATAAGTTATAACGCCCACATGTTAGACCCCCCCCCCCCGCCCCGCCCCGCCCCCATACGTAATCTGTGGTAAAGAGAGATTACAAAATTGACAAATCTAACAAGTCTTAACACTTATATACACACGATAAAGAGTCAATATATAGCTTTAACAGTGGCCACTCCAGAGTGGTGACTCCCCCCCCCCCCTCTCTCTCTCTCTCTCTCTCTCTCTTCACTGTGAGGTGGTGGTCTTAAAGAATTAAAAAAGATTAAGGTATGAAGCTACATACGACATGTCCGAACTTCATTAGTCGACTGTCTTCATTTTTAGGAAATATTTCTGGTGGAAGCACCCCACACCCCACTTCCCCCACCCACCACACATACACTGTAAAATCCTGGTTTGGTGACGCCACAGATGATTTTAAGGTTGTTTAATCACACTAAAAGGTTAGTTGCTGATAATATCTGTTCTACATTTAATTAATAATGCGTTATTTATTTGAAATTTATCTACCACTAGATGATTACAGAACGCACGAAGGTAAGACGTATGTATCATTTGTATTTTGTTTCAAAATCATATTTGGGGGGTTGGATGGTCGAATGGTCGAATGGTTAGCACGTGCGCACTGTATCATAAGACCTGTCATTGAGTCAACTGGCGTGGTTTCGAATCCCCGGTTGTACGTGACAAGGAGTAGGGTCGCCTGTCCAACCTCGTGGGTTTTCTCCGGGTCCTCCGGTTTCCTCCCACTGCTAAAGACCTCTACGCGCAAGCGAATTATTGAAATAAAATAAAACCATATGTTAGTTCCGAGTGGACGTTAAACCCCATTTCTCTCTCTCTCTCTCAAAACCGTATTTCATGAGTAGAAGGGCATTGTTATGATTTTTCATCGGTATTTTGTCACACGGCATTACCATGGTCGCTGGCGACAAAGTTAGATCAAGTTTGGACCCCCTCCCCCCTCGCCTTCCACACAAAAACAAAAGACAGTGTCATCGCGCATTCATTGATTTAATCAATCCAAATAACACAGTTTGGGTGGGGTGCTACTCATACTCAATTTGGCGTCCGACTTGGTTGGAAATGGCTTATACAGCCTCCCATTTTAGCTCAAATCTTCTGGGGACGCCACCAAGTCGAAATAACTCAGTCTCCAGTCTCGGATCGGAATCAACGGCCAATTTCGTTCATAATGGAATCAAGGAGACAAGACAGACGATCGCGATTTTGCAATTGAGAAGCATCTTATATATGATAAAAGTCGCACGGATTTCAAAGATATTAAAAAGAAAAAAGTACAAAAAACATGTCGTCGTGTCAGATGATGAGTGGTCGGACATGGTTAAAATAAAAATGCGTCAGTTTTATCTACATATTTCCGCGCATAACGCCGCTTTCAGTTCGAACGATGATTCGCGCATAACGCCGCTCTGAATACGAACGATGATTCGCGAAAGTTGCAGTTGTTGGTTTTGCGTTCGCGCATACTATAATGTTTATTCTGAGCGCGGTGATCGTATTTGAAGGAAGTCGTTTAAACTGTTTATACTAAGCGTGGAAGTGTTTGCGTTCGAGCACAGTATAAACGGCCTTTTGCGGTGAACGCGGAATTTTTGGGAACTGTTTGCTAGAATGAATTTTATTAGTCAACCAGGGTGTTGGGGTCATATGGTATATACATGTTCAAATCCTCAATACGCTAGTTTCGTCTACATATTTCCGCGCGTATCGCCGGTTTCAGTACGAACAATGATTTGCGTGGTCACGTTCGCACTCAGTACAAAGGGCAATTGATACTGAGCGCGAACGCTACAGCGGCCACGACCGCGAACTGCAACCTCTGCGATTTTCCGCGCGAATTATCGTTCGTGAAATGAAATGAAATGGGTTTTAATGTCCTACTTTCACCGTTCGTAGTGAAAGCAACGATACTTACGGAAATTCGCCGATGATAGTGGTGCATTTATAATTTGACCATGTCCGCTTACATGTCACCTAGCATGGCGAAGCCGTCACGAGCCATCTGCCACAGATACGTCACATGTATGACTTTTGACCTCGCACTCTGATTGGCTAATGAAAACTGTTCGCGCGAATTGTTCCCAAAAATTCGCTCTGGAGGCAATCTCATAAGTTAAACAATCAAACGCGGTCACCGTTTATACTGAGCGCGAACGCGAACGTGGCCACGACTGCAAACTGAAAGCGACGATTCGCACAGAAATTCGCAGATGAAATTGGTCGTGAAGCCGTCTTGAGTCAGCTGTCGCGTTCGTGTTCAAGATAAACGGACCTTAACGGAGACATCGACGATGTAAATGCTGTGTCTGACTTTTCTCAGCTTATCACAAATTTATTGTGTTATTCGAATTTTGAGTCCCAAATCCCAATCTTACTTCATATCGGATTCCTAAATGATTGTGAACGTTTGATTTTGTAGCTATCTATCATTATTAGAATAATATATTTAGGTATCAAAATGAACCCTATACAGATATGTTGGAAATACACTTTCAACAGTACGATAGGAGCAAACAAGACATAAATTAATTTTAAATCCAAACGTTGATGTAAATGGGACAAGAAATTGAAATAAGAACCCACCTGTCATACAGCGACTCGTTTTGTTCTGGTTGCCTCGGCTGTCAAATTTTCAAGTAATGTGAGTTTAATCGCACCTTAATTATTAAAATGATATATACTCGTATTAGGCAATATATCATGTTATATAAAATGAAATGAAATGAAATGGGGTTAATCTGTTACTTTTCTGCGCGGAATGGGCTAATGAAGACGTGTTGCATAAGATACAAAAAACAGTTTATATAATATTAAATTTATTATATAGAGATAAACATACAGGTATGTACATTGTTTTATCATCGTAAAATATCAAATTATTTATATAGATATCTACCAGTATCAGCAAATATCAATTACACAGCACACAAAGATAGGTTGCCAGATAATGAAATATTCCCACAGAATTTAAGTTGTCCGATTGTCTATACAAGTGGCAATTTGATTCGTGTATATGGAGAGAATTCGTGGGACACTAAAAGCCGATCGCTAAAGATGTATTATGCAAGAATTATATAAAGAGTTCGCTGTTCTTACTATAATAGTTCAAAAGTAGATAATAAAATATGAATATACTGAAAATTTCAGTCAAATTACTGTATTATGTGCAAAGTTTTGAGTGTTTGAAGTTTTGACAAAATGTTGCGTAAATAGATTGTTTATTATCGTAGCAACGGTATACTCGATTATCTATGTTATCGTCAATCTCTTAAATGTCCGCGGTGTTGTAATCTACTTAAAATCAGAGACATCCGATTGATTTTTTAAATTAGATTTGATTATATATATTGGTAAAGCTTGCCTGAAGAAGCTTAATAAAGTGGAAAGTATTCGCAAAAACCTAGTTTTCTTTCCTAAAACAACTTTATTTCTAATATCTAACACCTGAGAGTAGCTTTAACTATAACATTTTACTATATGTATATTAAACCAGTGTTTAAATCAGTTTTTGTCGGCATACCTTTTATCTTTTCACCGTTTACCGTGAAACAAAGTAGTGCAGCTTTACGGTTATGCTAATATTTCTGGATTTATATATAGCATTCTAAAACGTAACAATTTACACAGTAAAAAGCAAGACACGTTTCATTTTCGTAACATTCTCAATAATACCCCCCCCCCCACCCCCACACACACACACACACATAAATGGGGTTTATATGGGTACGGCTAGTTCTCTGTTATATAACGATGTTTCGTAACAGTGATAAAAATATCGTGTCATCGCGCGAAGTAACTTGTCACGGGTTTATGTAATAGCATCTATGTTTTACATCTGCTATTCATTTTTGACTCAATTTTTACAAAATGTATTTAGAAAAGAACGACGAATAAAGGGTCTTTTGTGTGGACCAGTTTTAAAACGTCAGATATTCATAAATCTTTCTTTATTTCTATCCCATCCGAACAACTAGACACGTTTTCTTGACGGGAGAAAACCGGGTTGGAAACTCCCGAGAAGCATTCCCGTACCAACGCCAGGGAGACCCAGAGCGCCACCCCGATTGAATGACGTTTGGATTTGGATTTTCAAGTAGAAATTATAATTTTCTGAATAACCATAATGCTTAGTAAATCCACTTGATAACCAAAGTATAAAAGTGAGTTAATCGGCCTATAAAGATGTGATTAATAAGTGGTAGCCATTCGTTGTCCTTCAAAAGATGGTCAAAATCTAACTTATTTAAAGAAACTAAACGATATTTGATAGAACTGTATATACCATCACCAAATTTCACGATTATTCAGTCCTAAATCTTAAACATACATTATGCAAGAGCTAAATATGCCTATTGCAGGTCTTTCTTTAGGCCTGAAATGTTATATAAGATATTAATTAGACATTTAAATTATCCAAACCATAAT